CGCCGTACGATCTCTTAGAATTCATGATTCGTCGTATCGAAATGTCCTCCCCACGAACTCGACGACGGCGACCTCCACCATGTTCGAGTGCACCTTAATCGCATTACCAGTGTAACACGACGTATCAGCTATAGCCGCTCACGCGGACCGCCGTAGCGTGTCGACCATTCGTTTGATCTCATTACAGTTCCATTCGCCGATAATGTTTAGCTCTTCTATACCGAACGGTTTGGTCTTGGTCGGTTACCTACGGAGTATCCCAAAACACCCCCAACCGGGATACCACCACCGGATCGTCTACTGCACGCGGACATAATAATATTATTATGACGGCGGCGGCGGCGGTGGCGGCTGTAACGGTATCGCACGATTTCCAATCATAATGGTCGTAACAATCGAGTATGCGTTTCGATTGTTCGCAGATCTCGCATCGGACGGCTTCGTGTTTACATTATCATCATCATCATCATCATCTCATTATTACGTTATATGCGTACGCACGGGTGTTTTGCTCTACACGTTCGGATCGGAAGCAACCGCCGTTTAAGTACTAATCGTATTATAACGCCCGTTTTGCACGCCTCGGACGCGTAGACGCCGTTATGAATATACCTCGCGCACGCGGTGTTACAGGGTGTTCCGCGAAGGTTTACCGAATTCGATCACTGTTGATCGACTACAGACAGCGGACTGATTTAAAAATGTATTCATATGAATAAATATAAATGTTTCGGTTACATAATACGTTTGATTTCGATGTTTGTGTATATTTACAAAGCTATCGTTTCACACAGCGTTCAATTAGTTTATTTTCAGCGGACATTTGCAGAAGAACACATTTTTCGACGAACACTCGTCCAATTTTAAAAAAATTCTTCCTGTTCGGATATTGTCAAATCGTGGAAAAATGACAAAATAAATGCTATGATTATTAAAACAAAATAATAATACACGTAGCCTTTACTTGTAAATGCGTATTAAAAAACCTTGATCTTTATTCGTAGGAAACACCATGAATAGTAAAACTTTGTGGCGTACCCTGTATACTGATGATTTTGTTGTTATTGATATTTCGTCCTGGCTTATTTGGGCTAAACCGATAAGTGTGTAGAAAGTATTTCTAATCAATCGAACAACGGTATAATAATAATAAAAAAATAATGACACATGTAGTCTAACCTAATATTACTCATTATCCTACCTCTGGTAAGTAAGTGTGTAGGTATTTATGTACCGTATACACTTGGTGAACAGGCGTTAATGCGTTTACTTTCGATTTGCGCATATACAATGTGTAATGTAATATGTTTATTATTTTCTTTCGATTTCGATGGGAAATTCTCACAGGAATAATAATGTTTTCCACGCCATTGCACCCGTATCAATGTATTAATACTGTGTCCTACGAAGATTTCAATACCACCATGTTCCGCTTAGGGCATTATGAGTTTGTCGGTAGTGTAGCCGTTAAATTCTGTTCGGTAAAAAATGTTAAATATTCATTATCAAGCCAACGAAAACCTTAATGTGTTATCATTACTATAGCCGTATACATGACATGTTGCGATTAGTGAACCCTTAAGGTTGATCATGTAAATAATAATAACACGCAGGCGGATGAGCAAGTCTTTCGCTCAACGCATGCGTACGAGAGTGTTTGTTTTTGGTGCAAAATCGTTTTCATAATTTTGATCCAATAAAAAACGGACAGAACTCTGCCCGCGTCCTCTTTAGATTTCGTTCGTAAAACGTATTAACGTCGCTCCGGAGAAATCACTCGTCTGCACTTACAACGTGTTGTTGTCGTTATTTTTATCGTCATTATTTGCATACGTACGTATTCATTACCTGCGAATAAAACTCTCGTACGCGTGTTTTGCCCCATTGTGTTGTTGAAGACTTCGCTCTTGTTTCGAATGACGTTCCCAGGAATTAACGTTTCGCTATACTACTACGACAACGTGCGCATAAGCGCACACACAGGCACGAGCATCCGGGAAGGAAAGTGTATTCGGAGTACGCTGTACAAATGCGTTTCGGTTTGAAACGCATTTCGCGTTGTTCTTAAAGTCACCCACCAGTAGGTACACTATATATTATTATACATATTATTAGTACGTTTGTATTAAACGTATGCGCGTGTTAAATTAATTACAATAGTAATTTAACAGTTTTCGCGTAATTTTGGGTTCATACTACGTATTTATTTCTATGGGAGTTTTATTTTTTATTTTTGAAAATGGTCGTAAGCTATCCACTTTGAAAATATTATTTCACTTATCATATTCATCGCATTTAAGACTGTACATAATAAAATACTTGTACTCATAAGTAACGTAATACATAAATCGTTATTCAAAAAAATATTTTTCTTCGACACGCTCTTAAAGAACACGAACAAATGAAATCTATCTAATAATTAAAAAATCTTACTGCTGTATACATGCACAAACTATGATTCTCACAGTAACGATAAAAATATCAATAGCAATCAATATCATGAAAAACTTAAAAAAAAAATTAACGTGGTTAAATTATTTTATTTTCATGGTATTTAAATTATTGTAATCATTTTGGACTTGAAGCATAATATGATTTTTTATGATGTACACTAAATGATTTTGTCAAAACTAATTATAATCATGGTGTTGTAAACACAAAAAATATTACTTATTTTAAATTATGAATTAACAAATCTGCGTATAAAATATGAAGCTGTAAAAATGTTGGCAATAACCTTAGTTGTTGAAGGCGGAAAATCTTTAAATAAAAAAACTAGTTATAGTTATTTTTTGAAGTATTAAAGTATTTTTGTATCCTACTATAAATTTTAATAAATAATTTTTTTTATGTTAACGTCACAATATCACTAACTATTTTCGACACATTCATATCCCATTAAATATAGCGTGATAAAACACCAATGAAGGGTTTTTCGAACTATCGGATTTGTTCCCATCGAGATTCGACAACTTTTTGTGCATAAAATATGTTAATTGTAACAATAATTATTCGGTACACAGAGCTGATGTTCTGTTAGATCATACATACTTGTTAGTGTGAAAAAATAGGAAACACGCACGGATTGGCGTCTACGAGATTCATTCAAAGAGGTCTGAAATACCGAAAATCGACCAAAAAAGTGATTTACAATGTATATTTACCGTACTTGGAACGACCCGAGAACAAAGTTGTGTTTCATACGACAATGTAGTTGGGAAACGGTCGAACATGGCTCGTTGGCAAAACAGACGTTTTCATTATTTTTCTACTTCATACGGACGTGATCTCAGTATGTCGGGTCGCAAGAGTTGACGAATAATAACATTTTAACGAGAAGTATTTACGATGTTCGTGCAGACAACCAAGTTGACGGTATTTTAATGGTATGTGTAATAGAGATACTTATCTGTAATAGGAACCATCGTCGTAGTTATAACAGTAGTAATAGTAGTAATACCGAACAAGCGAGTTGAAGAGAGGAAAAAAAAAGAGAAAAATGAAACGACGAAAGATTTACTCGGTAGATACCGTGGTCCGTATATGCATGTAATATATTAGAATATGTATCGCGGCCGCCGATGATATATCGTTTGAATGTGGGCATAAACGACAACGAAGACGCACAATTTTTACCGCGGAACTTCTCCCCGCAACAACACTTTTTCGGGCTCTCATGATTCCGTTTACATATTTTCAAGGAGAAAAATATGTAACGTTGAAAAAATAATAATCTATACTTTCTGTAGGTCGTACTCAATCCGTTTTCTCTATTATCTGTCGTTTCAAACAGTGCTTTTTGTCTCTAACTAATTAGTAGACAGTTATCGTTATAATCGTCTTTCGAAACGATTTATAAAATAAAAATATTACATATCACATATTTATGTACAGGAAGCATAAACTTGGAGTAGCAATTAGCAGCAATATTAATTTGGTTTTTACCATCTACAAAAAAAAAAAAAAACTTTTTCAATATGATGGAATAAAGCTCCCGGTTGCAATTTTTTAGTTCCATTTCAAACATATAACCACTTACAAATATTTTGAAAGGGGTAAACTATATACTTACATAGTTTTCATGTTAGTATCAATCGTCTATTTTTATACCTCCTCAGATGAAAAATATATGTTGTTGTGGTTCCATCATAAATGACCAATATTATATTTTATACACACGTTAAAACATTCATGATGTACATATTTTTCATTCTGTTCATTTCAAAACCTTGAATTTTTTTGTCTTTTTTCTTTCCCTTTCCTTGGGGGAATCTATCCCGAAAACCGTCTTCCTATTTGTACTGTGGCCACTGTAGGTTATCGATTGAGTTATCACTTGAATAAAAAAGTTTTAGATAACTTTTTATTTATTTAATCGAATTAGATTAATGTCGTAATATTTAATTAAGAAAATATATGAAAACAGTCGACAATAATATTTTGTTCCATATTGGTACAACGGTTCGTTAAAACGTTTTTTTCTATATCAATCGTAAGAACTTTGAACGTCAACTGAAGTCATAGGAGCACGCTGCAAACGATTTATCACAACGTTGATCATAAATTACCAATAATTTTCTTATTTCAATTGAGAAATTTTGCTACGTTTTCCGAAATTCAACTTCACTTTAAAATATCGAAATATCGATAATCAACAGATGTATATTATCTATTATTGTATGAAATAATAAAATTTTACCTTGAAATATTTTCAAAAGAAAAAAAAAATGGTCTACCATTAATTTACACGTCTCATAATTAGACTTTTGACTCTTGACCTCCGTTAAAAAAAAAAAAAAAATTGGCCAAAAAATATGAATTCAACTATCGTGGATCACGCGATACGCGCATCTGTCATCAGTGGGTGTACCCCAATGATGATGATGATAACTCGCCGAAGAGTACGTGGCACGGGCGATTTTTTCTTCCCACTCCCCACTTCGGGGTCGTGCATATGTATATATACCGGACGATAGGCAAACCCGGCGACCAGTGCATGTTTCGCCGTCGAGTCACCTACTTGCAGTGCACACCGAAGTCACGTGTACGTACACCGCTCATCACAACAACAACAACAACAATAAACATCGCCGGGGATCCCGCGCAACCGGTTCCGGTATCTTTCGCCGTCCCGTAACGATGAACGGTCGTCGGTTGGCGTTGGTGTGCGCGGTATTACTGGCCTCATTCGACCGCCGGTCCGAAGCTTTTTGCGGTCTGCGAACCGACGACGGCGGTGGCGGTGGCGATTTTGTCAAGTGCCTCAAAGCCAAGGCGATCGCGACCTTGGACCGCGTTGCCCTCGCCGACACCGTACCGCTCGCCGGCTCCGTAGCCCTGGTCAAGGATGTAACGGACCCTCAGGCGCACCGACGGCAACGGTCAGACGACGACGACAAAGGGCCGACCACCGAACAGGAGCTACGGTCCGAACCGGACGCGACCCTCGACCGCATGCTGTACGACAGGGCCGTTCGGTTTTTCAGCGGTCGTGCCCTTCGCATAGGTCTGCCCGAGTTCACGCCGGACCAGCTGCGGACCGCCCTGGAAGAAGGTAACTATAATAATGCCGTAAATTAAACACGATACGATGTACGCGGCGCAACACGAAAACATTCCGTTCTTAACCCAACTGCCGTAAGCCGAAGATCATTTTGTTTTTACCAGCACGCGTGGTGGTATTCGCGTGGTCACTATTCTTCCTTCGCTTCTACGTCTACCACTGATCACCTTACATTCTCCTTTAACCCGACTATATAACCACTATAGAACGTGTTTCATGTTTGACTATGTTTATCAACCTCGCTGTAATTTTATACATTTGGCTGCCAACTCGTACTTTTTAGAGAAAATAAATAAATTAAAAAAAACTACATCATTTTAAATCGCTTTGGTAAATTATATTCCGACCTTTTTTCTCTCGAATGATACGGTGCATTCATATAATATTAAAATACTAGCTAAATTATCCGGATTCATACGACCAGTCCTGACCGGGACAGTTTTTACGGATTATTACTTCACACTACGTAGAATCTATGTGCTGTGGTGTTTACTAAATTTAAAGAAATACTAATATCGTTACAACAATATTCAATTTATTCTGGATCATTATGTACTTTTATTCGTTGTATCGAGAAAAGTCTGACAACTCGAGTTTTTGATTGAATGCTATTTATTTAAGTGCATTTGGATTTTTATTTTATATTTTATTTCATTTATTTTCGTGACAAGAGATAACCTATATTATACTCTAAAATCTATCTATGTATTAAATTTCAACGAAATCGTTTAGATAGTTTAGGAATGCGTAAAGAACATTGGTGGAAATAATTTTTGTATTTTATAAAACTTACGTTTCAATAATTTATAAATTTACAAGGTGTACTATATAAAGACTTATAATAAACCAGTAAAGTTTTTCTAATTAATTTATGTAAACCATTTTATAAAATTAGACTACAACGTATTTTTTTGAACAATGTTAATTAAATTGAAAAAAATTTAGAAAATAATATTTATATTACATTTTATATTTATTTTTCAATTATATTCAAAATTAATAACTACTGTAGTAGTGTTTAGTAGCAATTTTCGGATAAGGTATAAAATTATATATTTTTTAAATTTTTTTTTATCCAACTTATAAACATAAGAAGTTTAATAGTTGTTAACATTATAAATTTATCATAAAATTATGTAGTGTTAAAAAATGTAAAACAAAGAATCAACGAGATAAAAATATTCCAAATTACCCAAAAAAAAAAAAGAAAAAAGTAATATACAAAAATCGACATACATACTGTAACTAAAAGCTAAACAAGCAAAACAAATCGTAGAGTTTCCCTTTAAAAATTAGAAATAAAAAACCGTTGATAGTTTAATGTACTTCGTCTATTGATATAAAATCAATTCAACCGCATTATATCTCCATGAGATCCGTATGATTTTTCTACGTGTACTGAGCAAAAACTCTCTCGTTATTTATTCGTTTAATTTGCAAACGGTTAGGACACAATTACATATATAAAGAATAATGATGTATTAGTGGATACCCGCAGAGTTCTATTTAAAATAATGACTGATGGTATATTTTTCACATTCAAAATTGTATTATTTCAAGGATATAAGGCAACAATAATATGATATATTCAATCGAGCGAACACTTAATTTTTCTAGCCGAACGGACCAATTTCTATTGATGCCGCGGCCGATAAGGTATGTTTGTAGCGTTATCAGTGGTGACGTTTTGAAGCAGAACGAGTGACACCAAATCTGAAGTAAAAAAAAAAACGCCTGTTGATTATGTATATGATAATAATATAATAATATGTGGGTGAAATGTTATCGTCGCAGTATGTTTCGATTGACGGGTTAAGGGCAGCCCGGAGTTGACGATACGCAAGTATAATACCGATCCGCGATCCAGGTGTCACGTGACGTTTATACCGCGGGCATAGTCTTTTTCCGCCAAAAACGAAAAAGGTATGATTTCCGTCACCGCAAATTACTATTTGGGAACCATGTACAATTTGTACATAATCTTATCATTATAAATTTTAATACAAGTAGCCAATAATAATATATTAGTCGAATATAAGGCACAATTATAATGGAGTTTATAAAATATTAGATAATTTCATATTATAATATGTCCATTCTATTTAACTATTTCAAAGTATAAAACAATTATAGATCAAATATTGTCTCGATAGAGTTTTGAAAAACACATATTGTCATTTTTAAATACTTAAAAATGTCACAAAAAATATGAATTATAATAAAATTACACGATAAGTTTTAAAAAATTACACTCGTAAGTATAGGTCAGGGTTTAAAAAAATCGTATAATTAAAAGAAACAGATTTGACAGAAGTGTACCTACTAATTTCATTGGAATTTTTTTGTATAATCGCGTCTTCCGTAGTTCTTAAACGGTTTAATATTTTTTTGTTTTATCGGAATTTTATATATATTTTATACTATTGGACCGGAAATTTTCCATGAAACGTCTTCACCGAGTTACATTTGTTCGTGACGTATAATCAAAAACATATTTAAAACCATCGAAAATCAACATTGTTGTCTTACCAAAACGAAACGGTGTGTGCTTCCTTCCGTTATCGAAGATTATCGGTGTATACATTACAAGTGTCATTGTCCTTTACACATACCACATCATATATTTAATATTGCTTAAAAATTGAAACCAACGGTTTCCAAACTTTTTTAGACGGAAACGGGAATCGTAGATTTTTCGTTTTCGGCCCGCACCGTAGCGGACGACGGACATTCTCGGCCGCGGATGCACGTGCGGACGCCCAACAGCGCACGAAATACAACACAACGCCTCGATGTTTTTATTTTTCATTTTCATTATGTCGGTTATGTTTTCATAATAATCGGTTGAGTCGTACGCAACGCAACGGCGCACGTGTGTTTTTGTGCTACATAACGTACGGTTTTCCGGGACGGGTTAGGTGCGCGTGTTTCGTTACCCGACAGTCGGACGCGTGTACAATTCGACCGGTCCACGCACGACGTGTATTATTGTTCTTTAAGGACGCAGAAAAAGAAAAAAAAAAAAACACGAAAACAAAAAGAACGCTACAATACCGCGGGTACAGTAACGTTGTGGAAAAATAATATCGCATTTGCGCACGTGCAGTCGGTCCGCCGGTGACGCGAGAACGTACTCCGTTTTCGGACGACCTGTAAGATCTTAACGCGGTACGCATCGCGCGCGCGAAACATTACGGTCTTACGACAGGACCGACAGGTGTACAATCATCATAATATCTCTTCGGTTAGTGGATTTAAAAACTATACGCAGTAAAGTATAAGTGCCACGTACAACGTCCGCTGCGGTACAATAGCCTAGTCCGGTATTGTATTAAATTCGTCCACGACGATAACAATGACGGTCGCGCGGTTCGGGATCGCAAATGGTAATAACAACCGCCATTAGAGGTCCACTGCAGATCGAGTGAAAAGTGACACGCGGTGTCCAGCTGTAAGTATTACTCGGACGGGCGACCCGCGGTTTCGTACACGTTTTAATAGCGGTAAACATTCTACATTTTCTGTCATACCGGTCCATATGTACGTATTAAAATATAACACGTATTACGTCTGTTTGTTGCTCGTTCGTAAAATACTAATGACATCGTCCGTGATGGTTTCAATCGTGGTTGAAAACACACGCGCACACTTTGTTTTCAACAACAACAAAAACACCTCGAGAGAAACAAAATTATACATCTATTCCTCTCCTCCCTCATATCCCGAGAAATATACAATAAATCTATTCTAAATTATTATAAAACCAATGGGATAGTTTTTTTTTTTCTCCAAAGCTTTGAAGATACATTTTTCCGTACGAATCGTGCGATCAATTACCAATTGTCCAAGCTGCGCGCTTCATCCCCCCGGGCGAAGCTGAACAACAATTAAACCGTAGAACGTAAAAACATGCGATAACCTAAAAGCTAACCGTCTCGTGTGATAAATTATAGTAATAAGCATTATTATTCGTTTGTTAACGCCGCCCGGCGATTTTCAGGAACACAACGCAGTTAGGAAATACGAAACTCGGTAACTGCGGTCAACCGTAAAAACTAATATGTAGACCAGTGGTTCCCAATCGGTGGTCCGCGGACACCCAGGGGTCTGTGTGTTGATTTTAGAGGTTCACGGTTGTGTAGTACTTTTTTATTTTATTTTAGAGAAATTCATATGTATATATATATATATATATATATTCAACAATATTACAAAAAGATTTGTCAAATTAAAATAAATCAAAATTTTTTTTTCATTTTCATAGTTAAATAAAATTGAAAAGTAAGTATTTACGAAAAAGGGGTCCCTGGACCAATTTAAATTACAGTTTGGGGCCTTGGCTTCATACTAATTGAGAACCACTGATTTAGACAATAAGGCGTTTTCAAACACTTTTGACGGTTTCTGTTCATAGGCAGGGGCAAAATGAAAAAGACTATGGGCATGATGATGACGGCGGCCGCGATGAAGGCGATGATGATAATACCGCTGGCGCTCGGCGTGCTGTTCCTGATGGCCGGCAAGGCGATGATCATCAGCAAAATAGCGTTGGTCCTGTCGCTGATCATCACGCTCAAGAAGCTCGTGTCCAAGTCCGGCGAGCACGTGATCCACGAGACGCATTCGTCGTCAGCCGCGTGGCCATCCGGAGGCAGTTCGATCGCCGGCGGCGGAATCAGCGGCGGCTGGGACAAAAGGTCCTCGGCGGTCGCCGGCCACGCGTTGGCGTACAACTCATACAAGCCGTAACGACGTCGTGACCGCTGCGAACGTGGTCCGACTTGCGGTTCTACGATTTTCGTTGTTTATTGTAATTTATTGTTTTAATTTGTTTCGCGCCCCCAACCCCATTCCACCACCACGCTACGCGCTACTGCCGTCCGTCAACGGTTTCCGCTGGAAAAACGCTGGGGAGACGTACAAGGTGACGATAACCGCGTTTCCGTGAGACGTCGCAACCCTTCCAGCAGCAGCAGTTCAAAGGAGCCGTTACGACGAACACGCGTCCCTTCGAGTCGTCGACGATATGTTGCCATGCATTGTAAGCACACACGTGCCTACCGTATAGTCTTATGCAAACAATTACGTACCCTAGACGACGGTGTGAACTTTCATACAGTTAATTTTAGATATTTTTGTATTATTATTATTTATTGCTGTGTCGTTGTAAGGCCGGTACACTTTTCGTTGGGTGATACGTCCCTAACCTTATTCTACTTATCATAATGATAATCGTATTTATTGCAAACGCGTTTGCAAACCATTGTTTCCGATATAATTTATTAATATTAATATTAATAGCTTGTTATTGCACATTCCTCGTAATACAATACGGGGTATTTACGGCTTACCGCCGATTATGGAAAAACTGTTTTAGACAAAATCGCTTTTCAATATTGTTATTATTTCGCTCGCGGTCTCCGAATTTTCAGGTTAGGTTAGGTTAGTCTTATAATCTTTTCCTAGACCCATGATTTCTACCGAATCTCGTTTAGTCCAAAAATTATATTATATTCTGTAATGGAAATAGTTGTTTTTTATGTTTTGGAAATGCAAAAGTTTGGTTTGATTTTTTACTCGTAGATGTACTCCAGTCAAATGTATACACGGTTGATATAATATATTTTTACGATTAACTCTCTGCTTATATTATTTCGTTAGAAATATTTTTAAAACTTAATGTATATGAAAAAGAAATTACAATTCAAACATAAGTTGATTTTGTAAATTTACGTGATTTGTTTAATTTATTTCTCCCTAGTTTAGTTAAAAATAAATGAGCTATTCTTTTTCTTCCGCTGGTCTCCATGACTCTTCAAAAGTTTTCACCACCATCATCGAAATTCTCCACTTGTCTCTATCTTGAATTAATACCATTCAATTCTGTACTCCAAGGTTTCCGAAATAATTTTCTACAATATCCATTAATTTCTTTCGTGGGTGACCTCTTGGCTTTTATACTTTTGATTTCCAATTAAGTATTATTTTGGTTACTGTATCTATATTACGCCTCATTACATGTCGTAGCCAATGTATTCTTTCAATCTTTTAAAGTAAATTTGGATTATGTAAACCTTATTTAAATGTGTTGTTCTCAAAAAATATTAAGTATTTTATCTGTAATATATTCGTCAATCAGACTAGAAATCATTTATAAGATACAATTCCAACAATTATATGAACTCGTATTCGAAACACAAATAAATAAGTTAATCAGAATGGTATAATTCAATTCTACATTTATATTGATAGAATTTGATTTTGCTGGACTTTTTTACTTTAAAATAGATATTTTAAGTAATTTTTTATTTTAAAATATATATGTATAAGCATTTTTTTTTATATCTATGTCTATATTATAACAATTGATTGTTTGTTGATCAAATTATGTAAAAAAAAAAAAAAATAAACTATCTGAAAAAAAATTAAAAGATAGTATCTAAAATACTATACTATATAATATGTATCTTGCAACTTATTGATGATCCAAAAAAACCAATGAAAATGGAGTCCGGTAAAATCGTATTTTCTCATGCAATTTCTTTCTATGAATCAATTCATCAATTTTTTCAAAGTTACACTCAAGCCTTACTATGTATTTAAAATTATATTTGTTTTAAAAATATAATCATCAATAATTGTAATAAAAATAAATAAAACTGAAAAATTCTGTAATAATTCTGAAAATTAAAAATAAATTTGGTATTGACATCTCTGTATAGCATTGCTAGATAGATTAAATTAAATGCGAAAAATAGGGACGATTTATTGATAAAATAATAAGCATATGTACACGTTGAACTTAAAGTTAACATCGGTGTAAAATTAGAGATCTAATTATAAGAGAAAATACTGTTAAATATAAAAATATATGATTCTTTTGTAGGCAAAATTAGTATATCCGGATATGACAAATCTGAATTATTTAGATTTGTCAAATTTGGATTTAGGAAATCCAGATATCATGAATTATCCGGATTATTCAATTTTGCTTTTCAATGATACAAATTCTTTTTGTTGATAATTGTAAGAAATCTCATATGTATAAATAATTATATCGATACAATTATCATTGTCTCATTCTTCTATTATATTGTAATATAACTCATCATCAGAAAAGCTTATTCGATAGCCATTAAAGGCTATTCAGTTAAAATAAGTTAATTGGGTATTCAGGCATGCACTTTAAGTCATAGATGTAAATTATATCTAATAAATTGTTATTCTTGTAACTAATAATAAATTAACTGTTGAAGTAATAATGAGTATACTGAAATTCATATAATATATTAATTGGATGATACAATAAAATAAAATAATTAACTTTACTAGATATTAAAATTATTTTTTAAGTTATATTAAAAGTATATTGATCAATCTAGATAATCCTAATACCTCGTCAAATCCGGATTTGAATATATGGATAATTGGATAATATAGATTTACATAATTGTATCTATTTTGATATTAATCATCAGATAAATGTAGGGTCATGGTGTGCTGCAACGTGGGATTCCGGAAACGCAAATTTTTTTTAGTCTATGCATATTTGTGACACAGTAGATTATAAATTATTTCACCGTTTTTCTATTATTTTTGTGGTCCTTTCAT